TGTGCGTGTCGGGGGTATGTCAGAAGGGTCGGTGAGGGGCAGCGGAGGGCAGGTACGCGCAAGGCCCGAGGCTCAACCATTCGTCGGCTCGTCAGGGTTGGATAAGGGGAAGGGGAGTCTGGGCAGTCGGCGAGGGGGTCGTAGCCAACAGTGCGTACGGGGTAGCCACCACTTTCCTGCCTCACAAGGGCGGGGCTGTCCCGGAAAGTGAGAGACGCCGGGCAGCGTGGTGCATGACTTCAACCTCCCATTGGCATACGTATTTTCGTTCGCTCCTCCCTCGGGCTGTTCCATCTTCCCATCTCCTTCCAGCTCAGGCGAGGCGGGGGGGGGGGCGCGGGTGCGGGGTGCGGTGCGGTGTGAGTGTGTGTGCATGTCGCAGCAGATTTTTAGAAGCCAACAAGAAATAGAAACTCTCTTGCAGAGAGAGAGAGAGAGAGAGAGAGAGAGAGAGTTTTGTTTTGTGTGCTCTTGCATGTCGTGTGACCCCCCCCAATGAACACACCAGTGAGGGAGGGCGAGACGATCGAGGGGTCCCGTACCATGCGGAACCGACCCTATCCAGTGCTCAAGTGCTCAAGTGGCTTCAGCAAATGTCCATCCGTCTGTGTTCTTATTAACAACGAAGGCGCTCTCAAAAAAAGAATTTAAAAGAATTCAAAAATAGTCTCACGCACACCAGTCACCACACAGGTTCTCCCACCCCTCGTTTGGTTTATTTATTTTCTTCGCGGCCTGCGCCGGAGAGTTGGCGGTCGTGCGCTGGGTGGTGATCGTCATCTGTCTGCTCTGCTGTGCTTCTCGCTCGTGCGTCCTTGGACTTGTGCTGACCTCCTTTCACCTCCTGCTCTCCTATGCCACGTGGCTGTGTGTGTTTGGGTTTCTATGTTTGCGATTTCCGATTTGGATTTTGGATTTTCCATTGCACTTTGTTTATTTATTTATTTATTAGCACACAGGTTCGACACAGGTACCAAAAGAGGCACAGCCGGCGACGGAGGACCTTTAGAAGGCGCCGTCGTCCTCTGTCCTCATAAGGGTGGCGGGGCACGATCGCGGATCGGCGGGGGGATACGAGTCGTAACGGTCGAATCCGCGAGCACCGTAGTGAAAAGACCAAAAGAAGAAAACTGAATCTCACGACACTGCTCACTGCACACTGGGCACGGGACTGGCGCGTAAAAATAATTGGAGCACTAGCTCCCTCCAGCTTGAAAAAGAATTTTAAAGCGCGCCGTGCAAGTCATGTACAACAATCATCCTCTCCTCACCACCGAGTTCCCCAAAGCGTCGAGCTCCTCCTCCTCCTCCTCCTCCTCCTCTCCCTCCTCGCCCCCTTCACTCTCGTCGGACGACGGCGGCAGGTCCCGGAACGCGTGGTTGGTGTTGGTGTGCAGCGCCTCGCTGCCGTACTCGTCGGCGGCAGCCGCGCCGTCGCCGTCAGCAAACGCGCTCGGCCAGAGCGACCGGCTCTGCAGGTGGCGGATTTGGTCGCGATACAGGTAGTGGACGAGCGTCGCCTGCACCTTGCCCACCTCCCTCCCCTCCGCCTCCTCATCCGCCTCGCGCTCGACGATGAGGTAGCCTCCTGCAGGGGCGAGGGCAGCGGCAGGGTCACGCGGCAAGAGAGACGCGAGACGCGGCGAGAGAGGCCTCTCATGACGGGTCGGCGTACGCACCGATCCTGATCCAGATGACATTGCGGAACTTTGACGGCACTCGCGCGAGAAACGTGCGGCTCGCCTCGTCGGTGACCTGCACGAGGTTGCCGCCGGGCGTGCCAGTGACGCGCACGATCTCTTGGGACTCGGTCGGCTCTGGCAGCTCGCTCAGGACGCTCTCCACCTTTCGTCCGCGGCCCATGGCGTGCCTCTGGTGCGGCAGCGGAGTGGGACTGCGACTCGGAGCGCGCGTCGTGCCAAAAAGAATTTGTATTCGGGGTACAGGACGGAGGCGACGGCTAGCGCATCACACACCTCTCCTTAAAATCCCTGTGTGGTGGCGGCGTGCCGTCCTCCCATTCCTCCCTTGGCTTGTCTGTTTTCTTTCTTTTTGGGCACGGGACTGTGTTTCGCCTTCCCATCAATCAATCACGGGACTGGCGCGCACTGGCACTAACACAGGCAAAAAGAATTTTAAAACAAAAAGAATTTCGAATGACGCAATGGAAGTGACAGGAGGGAGAACGACGAGAGTGGGACGATGGCATGAAGGTGCAGCGGGTGACGATTCCGTTGATCGGCTCGTCGACTTTTACCAGGTTGCGCTGCCGGCGACAATCGCGTACAGGTGGGAAGAGGCGAAGACAGAGACGATTCCAAAGCAAGCGCCGTGGCTTTTCCCGCCGGTTCGGACGAGGAGGAGCTGGCTCAG